GCTCATGCAGGAGAAAAGTCTGTGCATGCTAAACAACACTTAGTACAGGCCTTTTCCGTATTGGGAATCCCTAAAGAAATTAAAACAGATAATGGCCCAGCGTATAAATCCAAGGAGTTCCTAGAATTTGTCCAGCAGTGGGGAGTGGAACATAAAACTGGCATCCCCCACTCCCCCACAGGTCAAGCTGTAATCGAGCGTACACACCAGACGCTCAAACAAGTCCTAGCCAGGCAAGGTAGCGAGGCAGTGTGGATGTCTCCACAACAGAAATTCTGTAAAGCTCTGTTTACCATTAACTTCCTAAACTGCTCATTTGAAAACATGAATCCTCCTGTAACTCGGCATTTTAACAGTGGTGATCAGTTTAAATTGTCACAGCATCCACCGGTTTTAATCAGGGACCCTGAAACTTGGCAAACCAAGGGTCCCTATGAACTTGTCACCTGGGGGCGAGGTTATGCGTGTGTATCCACCCCTACAGGCCCCCAATGGATTCCTCAGAAATGGGTAAAACCTTTTGTTCCAAAGAATCCAGCATGAGCAAGAAGAGAAGAGAAGCAAGTGGCTGTTGCTTCCAAGAGAAGACGCTGCTGAAGAGAGCAAGAAGAAACCTTTCTAGCCTCTAACCTGCATACTATAACTGTGAATATGTTTTAAAAAATGTCTGTTTCCTTTTTTTTAGAAATAACCTACCTCTCACTCAAATCCATGATGAGCCTTAACCCTGCTGTCATCCTGCTTGCACTGAGCAGCCTGACAGCGGCTTGCATCGTCCCACAGCCACTCTAGAACATCTGGGTGACCCATGTCTATCTACTGCAGCAGCAAAAAATCCTATGTCTACCTGCCTGGTAGGAATCCCATTGCAGCATGATGAATTCACACACAGCTTTAATACACTGACCCCTGAAGCAGGTAATAAATTACATAGCACTCATATAGAAGCAGAGTTAAGAAGCCTTGTCGAAGAGTGGCTGCCACATTTCCGTAAGGCAACCCAGGAACCCCAGGAGTTAGAGCTGCTGGGTTCCTCTCCAGCATCATACTGTGTACATTTTAGGATCAGTCCTCCAACTCATAAAGAAACATTCCATCATATACTACAACACTGAGAAGAATTCACAGCAAAAAGGTGGTGCATCTCCCTGACCCTTCTCATCGACAGAGCTAGCCTGGATTACTTCGGGGGGCAAAGGGAGGATTACTTCATTCCACGATAGCTTTAGAGTGGTGAGTGCCTTTGTGGCCTCCACTACAAATCAATTTGCAATCTTGCTCCCCACTGTGATAACAAGTCTCGTCCCCAAACTGTAATGGGCTTCTTTACAACAAAGGGACAAATAACTGCTGTTTTTTCTTCAGGTCCTTTGACTGTTACCACAGATTGACTTTGTAAGCACAAAGTAGCACCCCCTATACCTGTAAGGATATGCAAGGGTGTCACCAACTTCCAGTCTTTTGGCCAAAACAAGTACGAAATAATAGTGACATCTGTGCCTGTATCCACCAGACCTTTACCCTAATTTTTGTGTTATTATGCATTAGACTGCAAATCAATTCTGGTATGTCACATCTGATTATGTTCTGTCCAAAACATCTCCGGCATCAGATCTGTGTCTTCTGTTAGGTGTTGTTTGCCCTTGGTCTCTATTGTTCTGTGTGCAGTTGTAGTAGGCACTGAGATGGCTGTGGCTAATTGTGTTCCTGCAAGAATCACTAGTGGAGGTTGTAAGGCTTGAGCTAGAACTGTAAGCTCTTCATGGCCACCTGCTGGAATAATTGTTGGATAAACTATGAGGCCTATAATACAATATCATCCTTTCCCATAATTAAAAGTTCTGCCTCTCTTCAGTTGTCCAAGTAACTCCTGCAGGTATTGAGTAATGAAAGCCATGCACAAAATATATTAATTTGGAAGCTGCCAAGGTGCAGAGTGCCCTGAGGGGCAAGAGGTCAGGGTCGCTTGGGAGGTATCTGACAATCTTGCTGACGAGATCAAGCATGTGGCTTTGGTCTCCAAAGAACTTGAGTCCTTGCTGCTGAGCTGCAGTTGTGGCAGCACTGTGCACTGGGAAACCCATTTTCTGATAGAAGATTCCCATCTATTTCATATCTAGATGAGCACTGGTTTAGGTAATGTTTTCCTTTTTCACATCTGGGACAACTAGGTGATTTTGTAGTCCTCACAGGCTCCGGACAATCTCTTGTTGTATGTCCAGGCTTGCTGCATTGCAAGCATGTTTTATCACCTATATCAGACTGTGGTACTGCTCTGAAATTATTTAGAGCAAAAGTATTGAGTGCTTTTTTAAGTCTTTTATCCAGCACTTCAGCTTGAGTAGCAAATCTCTTATCCATTACTTCAGCCTGATCAGTAATAGCTCTTTCTATCCTTCCTTCCAAGATGTCTGCTTGAGTCATAGCTATGTGCTGTGGAGTACTGATCTCACTGCAAGCTTTGATCATTTGTGAAAGATTTGGCTGCACCTCTGGCAGGGATTCTGTTGGTCCTTGCTTTATTTGTGTATAGGCACCTGTGGACTACCCACTGGCTCAATCTGCAAGACTGCCTTTCTACCTGCATCTTTGATGTCACCAAGGACCCCTCTTGGCAAATCTGCTTGATCTTCTGCTCTATTGCGAGGTGGATTTGCAGGTGTGCAAATGTGAGGGCTGCATTAGGTCCCCCAGCATAGTTTTCTGAGTTTTCCAAGGAAACATTAAGTCCCAAAAGATGTATTGTGAATCAGTAAGAAACATTGAAGAGACATTATGACAGTTAAAAGGTGTCAAGTCCAAATTGTTAAAAATACCTTTTAATAACTGCTTGAAGTAGGGGGAACCTAACCCACTCTCTTTTATTGCTTTCTGTAAATCTTTTATATCTTCATGTGACATAGCCTCCCATCTGGGGTTTCCACCCCCCTCTACCCTATCTCACCAGCATAGCTAACAACAGTTTACGAGCCAAACTAAGATCCCCATTTTTAATTATTTTATGATGTACAGCAATCCAATCTGTGAAAGAGCACTGTAAATCCCTCTTTATGGAATCCCTTGCTTTGTAAGAACTGAAAGAATTCCCTATATTGGCTAAAGGGAGTTGATTTAAATCTTGGGGGTTTCAATCATATTCATCCTCTGATGATATTAATTTTGACCTTGAATATCGGGTCCCAAGTTAAAACTCTCAGGGTTAAAACCCTCAACTTCCTTTTTTTTCCTGTCTCTTCCAGGATGGTCTCCCCACCCTTTCCAGGTGTGGCCAAGTGGCCAAAGATAGTGTTTGGGTGGCAGGCAGCCCCTGAGTTTCTAAAGATGGCCCCAGCTTTCTTTCTGTGCTAAAGATGGCACCACAGAAATTCCAGAGATAAGGGACTCAGTAGAGAGCTTATTAAGTATTTAAATTATTACATGGCATGTAGGAATCAAGAAGCTGAAACTTTATCTCTCTTAGCAGCAAGGTCAAAAAGTTGAATACTGACTGCATCCCAGAGCAACTTTCAGAAAGCCAAATCTACCATAAATTCCGGAAAAATTTTAAGCACCCAGATCAATAAATCTTTATGTTTCTGCTTTGAGACTGAATGAGAATGTAATTTTAGCAAGATCTTTAACTTATTATAAACATCCCTCTCTTGAGACTTCGTGACCCTGATCTTAATTTCAGCAGTGTTCAGCTGACTTCACTTTGCCTGATGATGTAAAACAAGCACTCCTTCCACCCTCGTCCAGCAAGAGACTGTGTCACCTTCTATTCAGCCGTCTTTCAGTGCTTATGGTGCCTTCCATTCAGGCTAAAGCCTGTCCCAGGATGAAGTCCACAGGGGCAGTCCTAACTTCTGACCGAGCAATTTGCCTCACGGAAGCACCAAAATGTCGAGATATGTAACAAAGAATGGTACTACAGAGGCTATTAAGATGATTTATTACTCAAATACATCAGATGAGGCATCAGTCTCATGGTGTGAGCTTTTAGAGGAGTAACAAGTCAGCCATAGCTCAAAGGTAGTCATGAGTTTGTTACACAGCAATATATAATATTCTGGTCCAATGGACAGCTGACACAGAGTTTATTTTGACTTTATCACCTATCACCTTTGCTAAGTTCTGCCGCTTTCACCCAGTAGTCTGCTAGCTCACGTACACACATATTGTTTCTATTATAAAATCTAGATTCATAGTTCTACCATTGTTTCTGCCTTTTCTACTGTCTCTCTTAGGGGCTTTTTTTTTTTTTTTTTAATCAAGAAATGCTTCACAGGTGGAATATCGATCTTGTTTCTATCTAATTTCATCTTAGGAATCCGATAAATTTTTCCCTCTGAGGTCTCATTCTGGAATGAGACATCTTTGGTGTCAGAAGTGGGAGTGGACCAAGACAGACAGCCAAGGAGGGGAGAATAACAGAAAATTAAATCCCCTGAAGGAGAACAAATAAAACACCAAAAGATGCCAGCCTGTATGATGAGTGTTTTTCACCACTAATATATATGGTGATTATCAAATCAAGAGGAAAGGCAAGGGCAGGTCCTTCACTGGTTCCCCAAGGAACAAATTCTTAAATATTTTCCCAAATATTTTTCTGATGCAGACAGAAGCCTAAGACACCTAAGACAGGGTTTGAAATCAAGCACAATTTAGGAGCTGCCTGCTGCATTGCACTTATGGATGCCATTTGCTGCGCTGGAAGAACTGCAGGGAGAACAGTGGTGAAAACTGTGTGTTGGATACTGTTTTATGCTCAGCATTCTGTGTATCTGTACACAAGATCTGCACAGGAAAATGCAGAGGTAACAGATAATACCCTAGGAAGTTCATCCTCATAATTACAATGACCGGCTAGTGCAATGTTGTTATCCTGCACACTACCTGGCCTTGGATAGAGGCACCAGATGGACAATACAAAGAAGAAAAACCAAAAAAATTTAAATGAGAAACTAATACTAATAAAGTAAGAAATTGTGCCAAGACGAGAGATTTCTCAGGAGCTTGCCCTTGCCACTGGTGCGAACATGGATTTGCAGCACATGCAAGCGGCACAGCTTTTTCTTGCCTAACTTGCAGCCTGTAGTCCGATGGCTTTGCTCCTCATCATCTCGAATGTTATAAATGCAACGGCAGATTAAAGATAAAAAAGATAAATTTATTATAAATTAACAAAACAGCAAAACAGCGAGGAAAAACCACAATAAATGGACAGCGCAGCGCTGGGTGGACAGGGTCTATACGCAAGGTATAGGTGTTCCCAAATCCACGTCTGAGGGTTCTTTGGCCTGGGTTTTTATAGGGATTTTATGTCCCCAGGCTAGAATTCCAACCAGTTCCCATTCACCAAGTGTCCCTGATTGTCGGGTGAATGGATTTCCTGGCCTAGAACATTGAATCAGTAAGTGTCCGGGCAGAGTCTCCTCAAATGCAAAGTGAGTCTGTATGTATTTTAACATATTTCATCACAGCAGAGTCGAGGGATCCGGGCTAGTGCCGATGGGTATCTCGGAGGAGTAGTCTCTTCTTTGTCCTTCTTGATTGAGTTACTTTAGCGTAGGTTTGGCGGGTGTGGTGTTCAATTCTGGCAACGACCATTTTCCTGGGGCTGGTCCCTTTTGTCTTGCTTGATGGTCTCCGGGCCGAAATTGGCCGGGCGTTGCCTTTGTCCGGAGGTAGACTTTCAGGCTAGTTCTTTTGTTTCTATGATGGTCTTTGTCCTGTCCTTTCCTCCGAGTTGATGTGCCTGCTGAGGTTTGTTATCTGGGGGGATTCTTTTGCAATCCGTGACTTTGGAAAAGGAATTCTACCTCGACCTGGAGGAGAATTCCTTATTCCATATTTTCATTAGTTATAATTACACATACTTTATTTAAACCTTTTCTTCTGAATTTTTATTCATCCAATTCTTTATTACACTTTATTTAAACCTTTTCTTCCGAATTTTTATTCATCCAATTCTTTATTACATCGAAGAAGCAGCACGCACACGTGAGCTTGGCAAGCACCAGGAGAGATGCAGGATAGTGTGGCACAGCAAAAGGAGCCCAGAGAAAACATTTGCTTTGTGTGCCCTTGTTGTCGCCCAAGCATGCGGTGCTGTGATAGCCCTCGGCCATAGGAGGATTACTGCAGCAAACGGGATTCCTCCAGGCCTCTTCCGCTACGTGAGTGTTGCGTGAACAAGCTGTATAGTGTGCAGCAAAAAAAAAAAAAGTGTCATTGCAGCTCGAGCGGAGGAAGAAAAGTACAGAAGGTGTACTGGCTACATGCAGTACATGCTTCAAGAAAAGAGGCAAAACACTGTCCCAGGGTAGCAGGAGGACTAAAAGAGCAGCAGCTTTTTAGGTCCCCTTAGGAGTGGGTGGAAACTTACTTTTGGGTTTCACAAGCCTCGAGGACGTCAACTACCTTGGGTGCTACAGCGCAGGCACAGCTCAGAAGGGGGAGGCCAGCAGCTTTCTCGAGCGTCAAGGGAAGTCCGTCTCAGGAATAGGAATTTCTTATACTGCCCGAGGTAACAGAGCACATAAAAGCGGTGAGTCAGACTGGCCAACAGTGACTGCAGCTGAGCAGGCAAGTAGCAGTGGTTAGTGAGTGGGTGCAGGGCCCCGTGTGGTGTGGGAGCGGAGCGGAGCTGTGGGGGCGGGACAGCCCAGTGCAGTGGCGGAACTGCCCCTGTGCATGGCCTGCGCATGGCCTGCGCATGGCCTGCGCATGGCCTGCGCATGGCCTGCGCGTGCGGTGGCAGGCACCGAGCCGGAGCGCATGGGCCGGGCCAGCGGCAGAGCGGTGGGACCAGTCTCGACCCGCATCCGCTGGCGCCG